GAACTGAGTTGAGCAAGGGAGAAACTTTCCATAAATTTATTCAGAGTTCTGGAAAATACTGGTGTGTGCTTTGAAATGACAGAGACTTTCTTGGGGGTGGGAATTAAAGGACCAGATGAATGAGTGCACAGGGTGAGAAAAAACATTTTTGTTATGATTAACTCTTATTAAACCCAGCTCATTCTACCCTCTTGGTGAACGCATGTGGTTTTATATGCAGCATAAAGTTCTAGGAGTGAAATTTCTGTGTTAAGTAATAGTATACCTTAAATTTGGAGTGATGTAGTCAAGTTGCTCTTCAAATGATGTGTTCCCATTTCTGTTTTCCCAGTGATGAATGAAAGTGGTGTTTTCTCAAGACACTCTTTCCACATTGTGATTATCAAAAATTTTAGTCTTTGCTACCTAACCAGATTTTTAATTTGTTATTTATTTATTTTTGTTTTTTGTTTAATCATTTAAAAAAATTTTTTTAAACAATATTTGCTTCCCTCACCCCCTCAGATTGAGTCCCCATAGAATTTCCTTCCCCAAGGCACCCGTGCACCATCACTACAGTCCCCTGTGCTCCTCCCTCCCTCCCTCTGATCCCTCTCCCTCCTCCTCCCCTGCAGGATGTCTCTGATTTATAATTGTCTTTTTTTTGCTTTGTTGTGTTTTGCACTATTATTATTTTTTATTTTTGTTACACTGATGTCTTATTTGGTTCCCCTATATTCCTGTTATAAGTGAAACCATCAGATATTTTTCTTTTTCCTTCTGGCTTATTTCACCGAGCATAATTCCTTCTAGCTCCATCCATGTTGCTGCGAATGGCATGAGTTTATCTTTTTTGATTGCTGAATAATATTCCATCATGTATATATACCACATCTTCTTGATCCAGTCATCTATTTTTGGGCATTTGGTTTGTTTCCAGGTTTTACCTATTGTAAATAGTGCTGCAATAAACATAGGTGTACAGGTGCTCTTTTGAATCAATGTTTTTGTGTCCTTTGGGTAGATCCCTAGGATTGGAATATCCGGATCATATGGTAGCTCCATTCTTAGTAGACTGAGGAGCCTCCAGACAGCTTTCATAGCGGTTGGACCAGTTTGCACTCCCACCAGAATGTAGGAGAGTTCCTTTTTCATCACATCCTCGCCAACATTTGTTGTTGCTTGTTTTTTTGATATGTGCCATTCTCACTGGTGTAAGGTGGTATCTCAGTGTGGCTTTTATCTGCATTTCCCTGATTATAAGGGATCTAACCAGAGTTTTAAAAAATGGTTTTCCATACATAAAGAGAGATTTTCATTGTGAGAGAAATGAAATAACACATTTCTTCTTCTTCTTGGTTTTATTTTTTTGATGAACACCATTGCAAATATATCTTCTTATTCACTTTTTTTATTGGGTTGCTGGCTTTTGTTTATTAATTTGTAAGAACTCTTTATGTAACCATGTGACAGAGGGTCGCTAGCCATCCCAAACTGTTAAGGGGTACATGCTCTAGAAGGATTTGGCCAATTGCATGCACAAAGGCAAAGAAAGCAGCATTAAATGTGAAAGGCCTTTAACTGGGGTAAGAAATCAAAAGGTACAGAGAGAAGGAGAGAGGAAAAGAAAGGATTTCAAATAACTGACTCCTGATCAAAGTCCAAATATACCCATCCCCCTCATGTGCAAATGCCCAGCTAAACAGGATTAGCCCAAAGCGGAGCTGCTGAGGCCCACAAGCTTGCCACAGACTCTAAGGTGCCTTCTGACAGGGAACCACAATGAAGGGGTTAGGCAGTTCCCACAGAGCTGGGGCAAAGGAGAGACCTGAAATTCAAAGTTACCCTATACTCTACCACGAAGACAAGATAAAGGCTGCCATTTTCTTTGCCAAAATGCTCAACTCCCAGGAACAGCCTCTCCGTGTGTCTTTTACCCTGTGTCTCTTAAGTGTCTCTGCTTCCTCCTTTGTTCCACCTCTGATCCACTTAGTTTCTTCCCTGCTGTTTCCTTTTCAGGCAGGTAGGCTGGGAATTGTAGTCCAAGGCAACTGGCTATAAGTGGGGCTGGGGAAAATGCCCATTCACTACACTGTGATGCATGGAGGTGCATTCTCTAACATACAGTAAGTCATTGGCTTGTGGCCTATCACATGCATTACAGATCTTTCTCCCCATGTACTATCTGATTTTCGTGCAGATAATTGTGTCCTAATGGATTTCCAAATACGTGGAAATCATTGTATAGAACAAATACAAATTCATTCTAGTGTGCTCCTGAATTACCAGCAGCTCTTTCCACCCTTTTAGTTTCTCAATCAACAAACACTACACCCCTAAGTCAAACCGCAGCAGGGTGAGGATGGTCCTTAAGGTCAAGAGGTTGAGAACCACTGCTCTAGGCTGTGCTGGTCCCCTAAGTGGTGCTGCTCAGAGCTCAGCCCAGTCGTCCTGGGCACAGGTTCTGCTCTTTAGTCTCTTGTGAAGGCAGAAATCATTAAATTGCCAATTCCTTATAAAACACCAACAATAGCACTTCAAGGTGGAGCCAAAGAAAGGAACTGGAATGTCTCCCTTCCTCTTTTCCTCTCTCCCTTCTCCATTTGTAACCCCCTCCTTCCTTTGTTTTTCTCTCCTCTCTGGTCTTCAGAAGGGAAGAGGGAGAAAAGTTGGGGGAAGGAATAGGTAACCAAAAGGGAAGGCTCTCAACGGTTTAAGATTAAACCTAAATTCTTCTGCACTACACTCAGGCCCTTCCCCTGGCCCCACCTCTCCTCCTCTCTGTCCTACACACCCAGTCTTTCTGCCACACCCATCTATGAGCCATGTTCTGCCCGGAGTAGTCCTCTGGCCTTGCCAACAGCTGCTTTCTCTGTCAAGAACTTGCTTCCGCTTCCTGCCTGCTGTGCTTCAACTTGTGAAATGTCACTTCCTCTAGGAACCTTTCCCTGGCCCCAGCTGAACTAGTCTTCCTCCTTAGCTCCCATCCTACATATATAATTTATAACATTATTCTACATGTCTCTGCTCTGTCCTGTCTGCTTGGCAGGCCCTTGAAGGTAGATACCTGCTTCATTCACGTCTAATTCAGTTCTCGATCCATGATACTGGCTTAGTCAGTCTTCACTGGGCAAAACATTGTTTATAGAGCAAAAGTTGATGAAGAAATCACGAGAGTGTAACTGGAACAACACCCTGCCCAGGGATGATGGAGCATCCCAGCCAGCTTCACCTCATCGCTGTGTTCCCCTCAAGTTCGGAGCTAGAGGCTGGCAACCTTGACTAAGCCCTATGGATTTATATATACATAGGCCTTATTGCTAAGAGATGGGGTCAACCACTGACTTCCACTTACTCCCATTGTCATCCAGGGAAGAAACAGGGAAAATCTAAAACGTTTTGTTCTAGAATTTCATTCCTGGGCAAAGTCCACTTGGAAAAATGGTTCTCAACCTTTGGTCCATGTCAGAGTCACCCAAGGCACTCTAGTGAGATATCAAGATCCAGGCCCTATCCTACTCCACGGACTCTTCTTTTTTTTTTTTTTGAAACGATTTATTTATTTATTTTTACAAGCACTGGATACAGTCAGAAGTGTGGGAGGATGAGAGGATTCACCAGAGCCAGAGCGGGGAACAGAGCAGGCTGACTAACCAAACACACTGCTGAGGGGAGCAGTGGGCATAGCAGGAGAGGTCTGTGCGCCATGTGGGACCCTCGCCCAGCGGCCAAGGATCGAATGGGCACTGCAGAGGTTGCAGGCAGCTTCGCAGCCCAGCGCTCAACTGCTGCATCACCAGGGGAGGCCCTCCACGTACCATTCTTCAGTCATTCCAGGTGTGTCTGCTACACACCAAGGTTTCAGGTCCACTGGCTCAGAGGAAGTGGACTGAGACCCCTCTTATCCCATCAGCATGGGATGCCAGTTCAGTCTCTTCACAGGCTGTGTTCTGCCTGTGTTTCTTCCTAGAGGTTCAGCCCCAAATGGTTGTAGGTTCCTACACCTTTTTCTCCTCACACCCTCCCTTCCAGCTTTCCAGCACCTACATTTCTTATGACCCATAGCAGCACCTATGTGGTGCCCACCAGATGTGAGGAGAATGGACATATACATACCTGTGAACAAGAAAGATCCTTTCATGAGGAGACATTTACAAGTTTTTCCTTGGAGGAGCAGGCCAGACACTGAGGTAAACAGAGGGCAAGGGCCTGTGCTGGGAGCTTGGGGCCTCTCAGGGCAGTGCAGCGGGCAGGGGGAGTCAGGTGTTCCATTCCTGCTGCCAAGCGCCTGCCACTCAGAACTTCTGCTTCTTAGGCTCTTCAATGGCAACCACCACAATGACCATCATCTCTCTCTTCCTGACTTAGCATGAAGCCTACATGGAATAATGAGTGGGTAAGTATTTTCTAAACATAAGCTACAACCCAAAAGAAAAACAATCTGGTGAATAATCAACAAATAAAAATTTTCCTCAGCTCACCCTAGCCTACATTTTTTTCCCCTAGCCTACATTTTTTGCAATTCTTTCCCCTGAGGGATTCATTTTTAATCAGAGCACATTTTAAGATGTTGTGATGTTTTTCCTCCCTCTGGTCTTGAGGCTCTTGTAGAGCCTCAAAAGTCACTGGTGGCTTCCTTTGGAAACTTTGGCGACAAAAATGTGCTACAGAAGTCCTGTCTCTTTGTCTTGGGATCAGCTTCATTCGCCTTCTGCCCCTTCAGGGCCATCACAGATGCTGCGGGGGCTGGTCCTTTGTTTCTGAGGCTGTTTGCGATTAGCAAAGTATCACTTCCCTTTTATGTGAAGAAATTATTCTCTATCAGGAAAAAAATACTTTTTGCACACATCATGCAGAAATGCCACTTTTTTTTCTCAGAAATATGCAGAAATGTCAGGTATAGTGCTTGTCTTGTAAAATAACACTACTCAGCACATTTATACTGCTTTCTATTTTACTGAGAATCTACCTTCACATGCATTTTTTTCATCAATTTTTCACAATCATATTTCAAAGTAGCTTTATTCTTATCTCTGCTTTACAGGTAAAGAACTAGAGCCCCAAGAGGGAGACCAGTCTCCAGAGATCTCACACCTGAGAAGATATTGCCTTCCAAATGGGCCAAGGAAACTTCCAGAATGTCCCAGTGGGTTCCCCTGCTAACAGCTAGGGCATTTCAAGAATGAATTTCCCATGTTTTTTCAGGCAAGCTCTGTGGTTGTCATTCACTGGGAATTGCTGAGAACACTCATCAGTGCAGCTCCTATTACCACTGGAAAGGAAGGGTCTGTTTTGGGGTTGTTATTACCACACACATGTTGCTCTTGGTCATCAGCTCAGTAAGAACCTCAGCCAGCAACCTGGCTTTCCTCTTCAGCCTTGTAATTTGGTAAAATGTGGAGGTGATATTTCCTTCACCGGATTCCCTGTTCCCAATCACACCTCCTTGACTTCTGAGTTTGTGCCATTTTCTTCTAGAAGGTTGATGCTTCAGCAATTCAGATCACCTGATGATCTGATCCCTTTCTTTTAGTCTTGTTCTCATCCATTCTTTTCTCTCTATGTCTGGGTATCTTTCCCTGCAAAATTAGAGCTCCTGTTAAATCAATCCTAAAGATCAATTGAAACATTCCTTTTTCTCCCCAATCCCCACATTCATTGCTTTAGTCCAGATTCTCTCCATCAGTCCCCTAGACAAGGGCAGTGGCCTCAGAAGGGTCTCTGGTGTTCCCATCACTAGTCTACACATCTTTGTAGAATACACATCTGACCATGTAACTCCCCTGAGTGACTCTCCATTGACCCCATGATTGAATCTATACTTTCAGAGGGACCCTGAAGTCCCTCACCATTTAACTCCTCCTCCATCTGTCCAGGGCATACTGACCTATTTATTCATCCACTCCAGCCATATCAATGTAGTCATCATTCCCCAAATCTGTCACATTCCTTTTTCCTCCTTACCTTTGCTCATTCTATTCCTTATCTTGCAGTGTCTGAAAGCATACTTCTAAGAATTTCTCAAAGCTCAGTTCTTTTGCCATCTTCTTTATGCAGTCTTTTCTGAAATGCCTAGTAAGAATGGATCCTCTCTTCCATGTGCCTGCATGATGAGTTATACCCATTATTCATTCATTTACTCTTTTTTTTAATTTTTTTTAAATAATAAATTTTATTTTTATATTCCCCCATACAACTGCACATTCATTTACTCTTACATTTATTGCTTTATCAATTAATTGTTGAGCAAGTGTGCACCTGCACACACACACACACACACACACACACACACACTACAGTGATAACTCCAGGGAGTGCACATAGGTGTTAGGAAAGCGAGTGATTTATACAAACATCTGAGACACTGTCTTTACCTAAGGAACCAATGAGCTGTGACAGGAAACACATAAATCAATGATTTTAATATATTGTACTATAGGCTTTAATGAAGATATGAACAAAACGTTTTGGATTATTGAAAAGGCAGCAGAGTAATTCTGCTTGAGTAAATCAGGGAGGGCTTCACAAAAGGGTGGACAATTGAATTGAGCCTTTAATTTATTCTTTAAGATTTATGAAGGATTTAGTAGCTGTCAAGACCATCCACCTATGAGTTAGATTTAAGTGATATGTGATGAAACAAGAGAGAACTTGTCAGCTGACTGCAGAGAAAGCAATTCTAGCAGAGGAAGGAACATGGGCTTATGAAGGATCATGGCAAGGGAGAGGTTTTTTGGTGACCAAAGCTCAAGAAACACTGAGTGAGGAGGAATAAGTCTAGATGACAGGCACCAGATGGTGAATGCATGTGCACAATTAAGGCAAACTGGACTATATCCCTGTAGGCTTAAGTCATATTTCAGTGGGTCTCACAGATGGGTCTGCCTTATTTATCTCTTCTGTTATTACACTGGGAACATCTTGTAGGGAGCAGCCAAGCTTCTAAATCTTCAGGACTTAGCACCCTGTGTGGCAGATAGTAGGTACATAGTCTTTGTTGAACAGGTAACTGTATCTATGATGTTAGTAGAAGCTTGGTGATTTATATTTTGAGGTTTATTTATGGTTTGGCTACTATTCCTCTTGGGTTTCTATGCTGAATCTGAATGGGACCTGTCCAGTCCCAATATGGTGGAAAGGTTTTCAGGGGTCAAGTGAACCCAGCATACATGTTGCCCGAGGCAACTTGAGGTGATCAAGAAAGTCTGTATTGTATTCAAGGGGAAACAAGTTTGGGTCTCTTGGGAGTATTAAAATGAACATCAAGACCTAGTGCAAATGTCAACTTGCAAATGGGAATAGAAACAGAGAAGCAGAAAGAGGAGGTTGAAGTGGACAGGCTAGAGTGCAGAGCCAGGATAATGGGGCAAAGGGTCTGGGACCAAGGAGGTGACCAAGGGAAAAGTGCTGAGGGGCCCCTGGCATGTGGCATGTGAAGAGTTAAAAGCAGGTCTATTGCTCAACTATCTTGCAAATATTACCAGATTTTAATCTTCTGAAATAATTTCTTGACAAAGCTAGTGATCTATAAATATATTCCAAGTTAACCCTAGATGTTCTAGATCCATTAATTTAACCTGTCAAGTTTAATGTAATGGTTTCTATTTAAAATTTTTCCCACAGGAGGAGGAGGGAGAGGGATCTGAGGGAGGGAGGGAGGAGCACAGGGGACTGAGGTGATGGTGCACGGGTGCACTGGGGAAGGAAACTCTATGGGGACTACACCTGAGGGGGTGGGGGAAGCAAATATTGTTTAAAAATGAACAATGATGTAAAAATAAATAAATAAAAAAAATGAGAGATTAAAAAAAAATGGACTAAGAAAATGAAACTAAGAAGAGAATAAAATAAAATAAAATAAAAATTTTCCCCCAATAAGCAGAACTGTGTTTTTAAACAGGAGTCTTATCTGACACTCAACATAGAAATTAAGAGGACATGATGTAACCCTTGAGCAATTAGTGGAAAATACTTTACTGTTTTGTGGGACTCTTACAGGTCTCTGGGAATTTTGTAATTCTGTAGAGTTCGGGGTGAAAATCATAGGCCAGGAGGTCACGGTCAGTCTTTGCACATCTGTCGAGGCTTAGATTTAAGAACCAAATGCCTTAAGATGAGGCTGACTTCCTTCCTGTGAACTCAGCACATCTTGAAGACTTAAAAAAAATTTTTTTTTACTCCATTGCTGAGTAGGAATCAAGGGCTATTCTAGGACTTTTCTTCAGAAATAAAAGGTGAATTTGAATTTTGTTTTTCCCTTTTTAGATTTTTAATATCAAACAATACCCTTACCACAAGCTAAATGTACACTCCCTGCATGTAATGCATTTGACATGGGAACAGATCACCATGGAAACGATGAGCTTCATTGTCCATTGTGTTGTGAGCACATCTGATTAGACAGGATAATTAATTTGTTTGTGGAATGACTTGCTCTGTGAAGGGAGCTAACAAAAGGAGCCAGAAAAGTGAGCCAACAACAGACAAGAGCTCATCCAACTTGTTGGGGAATTCCAAAAATTATCATCAGAGTGTTGGGGCAGCAGAGGCAGTTGGAACCTCTGAGGTGTATTCACCAATTTCCCCAGAAGATGTGAAAATAAGAGAAAAGACAAAGACCACAACATTTTTTTCCTGTATGGTCCATTCATGGTCCCACTTTCCTCTTTTCCTGTTGAAGGTATACCTAGTTATGGGAAAAAGAATATTATATCTATGGTATAAAATGGGTTGATACTAGAAAAATGTATTTTATTTTTTGATTTTCAAAATGAAATGAAAAAAATAGAGATTTTTGGATTCCGAATTTGTGTGTGCCAGGTTTTAATTCCAGTGTAAAATCTTTTTTGTTTTTTTTGGTCATTTTGTGACCTTGAGTTTGTAGCATATATTTCCTGTGCTTTAGTTTTCCCCTATATAATGTGAAAATGAGTGTTCTTTTTAGCCATCAAAAAAAAAAAAAAAGTGAGATCAATGAGATCTAGTTTTTATAATCAAAGACCTTAAATTGTATGATATACTTAACACTAGAAGTACTTATTCCTCCTTAATAGATGGGGGACTTCAAAGAGGAAATGAGACTTAACTTGAACCTAGAGGAATGAAAAAATTTGCTAAATGAGAATAAAGAACATTTGAGGCAGAAGGTCCAGCATCTTTATAAGCCCAGAGATTAAAAAAAAAAAAAATTCCTCTAGGGTCTGTAGTAGTCGGAAAGAGTTGAAGTATGACAACATGTGATGAGTGGTTAGAGGGAGGGGCCGGAGGGAGAGGAGAAGGAGAAGAAGAAAGAGAAAGAGAAAAAGAAGAAATCAGATCACAAAGGAATTTATTGATTCATTTATGGTTTTGGACTTTACCTTGATAACATTGACGAAGGAGTGACATGGGCCCTTAATCATATTAGACCTTTACTGGCACACAGCCACATCATTTATGTGTTCTCTAGGGCTGCTTTTGCACTTCAGTGGCAGAGCTGCACAGTTGTGACAAAGATCAATGGTTGCAACAACTACTTTGCTATCTGGTCCTGTACAACAAAAAATTGTGAACCTCTAATATAGAGGTTTGATTAGAGGAGGGCAAAGATGGTGAGAAAGAGCTTTGTTAAGAAATCAAACCCAAACTCTAAGAGCCAAGTCAAAAGCCTGGACTAGGTAGGGGCTGTGGGGCTGCCTCGAAGGGGAAGGTGAAATCAACAAGACACAGTGACTAATTAGATGTGGAGGTGGAGTGGCAAGACAATTCTAGAACAACTCCCAGTTTCTAGCTTGGGCAACTGGGTGAGTGGTGGTGCCAATTGCTGAGACTGGGATGTCAAGAGGAAGAGCAGGTTTGGGGGATGAAAAGGATGGTTCCAATTTGGGCATGTCACCTGGGGACATCCAAGTGGACGTGGTAGATGAAAATTTGAGGTCAGGTATTCCATAGAGAGGGGTCTGTTTTGGACATCGATTTGGGAGTTGTCAGTAGATGGATGTGTCGATTACCGGGGGGAGTATGTAGTGGGAAGAGGGGAAAACCAGCAGAGGAACACACAACACATCAAAATTTAAGGATAGACAAAGCAAGTGGAACCTACAAAGAAAATGGTGAAACATTTTCCATGAGGAAAATAAAGAGAATCTTTGCTGAACAAATTAAGTCAAAAGTGTAACTAAGCACCAATGTTGCTTAAAAAGAATGTTGGGCAGGGGGAGTAGAGTTTGTAGTTGGGGGCAGGAGGGTGAAAGAATGGGGGGATGAGAGGGCACCTGGAGATGGATGACTATAGAAAGAAATAACCTCCACTTACTGCACACTTTTTATGTATCAGATAATGGTCTAAGTGCTTTACATTTTTGAGTTTCTCTGCACAATTGCCTTTCAAGAGAGGCACAGTTATTCCCATTTACAATGAGAAAAATGAAGAGTAGATACTGAGCAACTCATTTGAGGTTATATTGCTTGCAAGTGTGAAGTGGGGATTACCAGTCTCACGCCAATGGCCTTGAACCCTATGTCAGATGACACATCGCTGTCCCTTAGCTCCTTTCAAGTATCAAGAGTCACAAAGACAAGTTTCATTATTATGTCTCCTGGAATGACTTTCCACTTACTTGTCCCCATTCTGTGATTGTTTTATGATTTATGTGCACTTATAACCAGACCTATTGCATCATGAACATTTAAAAATGACAACTCTCAGATGATACGCCAGTGTTCCAAGTACTTTCTGTATATTAATATACAACCCTCATAACATATTTTCAAAGAACTAACCAGTCCCCATTTTACTGACAAGGAACTGAGGCATAAAGAAGTAACTTGAAGGCCACACAGTTTAGACACATGCTTGGACATTTCATACTCCCATTCTTGGTCCCATCAGAGGTCGCCATTGTTTCTCCTACTCACCCGTGTCCCAGCTTACATCAGCATCACATTAAGTTCGCCGTGTATTTGCTTGTCAGTCCCACAGAGCTGAGCAGGCACATGCCTTGTTCTTCCTTGTTCCTGCAGCGAGAAGGGGTGATGCCTGGCACTTTGTAGATGTCTCCTGAATAAATCAGTGATCGAACAAATGGCTGGTCTCCACGTTGATCTGCACAGTAAGCACAGTGAATCTTGCACTAGTCTACCCCTCTTAATGCTTAAAATGCCCCTTGGCTGACATCTGGCATTAGGCATTGTTTTTCCCTTAAAGGAGTAACCACTGCTTAACTCAGGATATTAAAAACTCTTTTCAGGAGCTGGTAATGAGAGGTAGTTCGAGTCTCCCTAGAAGGCCAACTTCACTGATTCTAGAAACTCTCAGGAGCTTTCAGAATGCATTTACAAATAGCGCAGGAAAATGGAACTGCTGCTTTTCAGGCACATGTCCTATGGGGCCAATTAGCCTCTTCCCAGCTCCAACTCACCTTGTCTTCACCCCAGATGGTTTTTAACTCTCTGGATAGCCTTCCTCTTTCCTCCACAGGGAAGAGAGGAGGGAGCTATTCCTGCTGTGGCTCCCAGGCCAATTCAGAGGCCCTTGCAGCCATTCAGGAGGCAAATATGCTTTGCTGGTGGCTTTGCCTTTGTGACCCTCCCTGGGGAGCACGTGGACACCCCATTGGGTTGACTTGGTGGGGAACTCCTCCCCCTATGGCTGAAACAGTCAGGCCTCTCTGAAGTCAGGTGACTGGTTCTCAGCCTCTTCACCTTCTTCTGGGGGAGAGGGGTTTCCTAAGTTTCCTTTGCACTGAAGGGGCAGCTTAGCTTTAGTTCTTCCTGGAAGGCACATGGGAGTAACAGGAAGTCTCCCAATGGGAGGACATGGCTTGTGTGAGAGAGGAAGGCACACTGGAATTGATTCCTCAGTTTCGAAACTGAAAGGAAGTTTAGCATCTCTTAGCCCGAGCCTTCCTGTGGAAAAGCACTGGCTGGACAGGCCCCTCCAGTGCGTAACTTTATACAAATCCCTTGCACTGCCCTGAGACTTCACAATCTCAGACCTTCTTAGCAGGGATGGTGAAATGAACAGAAATGAATGCAATTGTGTACAGTTAAGGGTTTTTTAACTTTAGAGTTCCAACTATATCCATGCCAGTTGTGAATATTAGCATAGCGGTCACCCCCTTTGCTCTGTGCGTGTACATACATATGTAATGAATGAACATCCTGTGCCTCAGTTTACCCTTCTGTGAAATAGGTACTAACTTCATAGTGTTGCTCTGAGTATTAGATACATTATGACCTGCACAGTTTTTAGAAAAGTGTCTGGCATGTACTGAGTACTGAATGATTATTATCGAGGGCAAGGAATTTTCTCTCTTATTTGTTATTTATCCTTAATGCCTAGAACTGATATACAGTAGGTGCTCAATAATTATGTATGTAGTGAATGAGAGAGATGGAAAAAAAGACAACAGCAACAACCAAAATATACCTTAGTGTACTGTGGGAAATGCTCTTTTATTTATTTATTTATTTATTTTTAAGATTTATTTATTTATGCATACAAGAACTGGGATACAGGCCAGAGGTGTGGAGGCTGAGAGACAGAGAAGGGAGCAGAGACTAGAGTAGTAGACTAGTAGATTAGAGCAGAGTAGTAGACTAGAGACAGAGCGGGGAGCAGAACAGGCAGATTGACAGAAATACACTGCTGAGGGGAGCAGTGGGTGAGACAGGAGAGGTCTGCAGCACCATGTGGGTGGCTCCCTGGCTGGGGATTGAATTCGTGCTGCACAGGCTGTGGATAGCTTCATAGGTTGCATGTCAACCCCTTGTGCCACCAGGGAGGTCCAAAATGCTCTTTTTTCTTAACAGAACTCAGACTTGGGCCCAGTGCCAGTAGGTTGTGACAGGTGAGTTCTCAGGATGTCTCAATAGATTCCTTGTGGTCCTGGATGTCTTGTGCCGCCAACATTTTCCTCCCCTCTTATAAGAAGGCTAAAGCTAGCCATGGAGCTGGAGAATACAGACTTATGCTCAAGGCCATACCTCCCAACGGGAGACACACAAGATTTGCCAAGAGCTAATGGGAGTTTCGTTTTAGCAGTGGCCCCTGTCCAGATAAAAGCTACCTGTCATGCTGGGCTCTTTCTGATCTTCCACATGCCCTGACCCACCCCTCCAAGCCAAGGAGCTCAAAGGGAGGCGGTGTGTCTGCAGTGCCAAGTCCCTGGTTTCAGCTGGCAGGAAGGGCATGTTGTGGGCGCTGATGGCCCATCTTTCGCCATTCATCCTGAAGGCTGCAAGGGGCAATCTCTGTGATCCCTGCCTCGCCGGGTGATGAATCATCTCTGCTGCAAGCAATTGCTGGAGAAAAGTGGTTCTGCTTGAGTGCAGATTCCTTAGGCTGATAATCATGTACAGCAGCTTCTAGATTCCAACAAGAACAGCACTAGTTTCTCACCCGAGAAACAGGCCGAAAGTGACAGAGTTTGACAAGAGCCTGGCCTTGGGAATCACAGTGACCTGGGTTTGAATTCCACCACTTACTAGCTGTGGCTTTATGCAAGTCTTTTACTTCTTAAAGTATGGTTTTCTCTGTATGGTTTTGTCTATTTGCAGGATGATAATAATATTTCCCTGATTCGATGTACAGTTTAAAGATAATTCACGTAGGCCTCCCCGGTGGTCCAGTGGGTTGAGCGCAGCGCTGGGAAGCTGTCCGCAGCCTCTGCAGCACGGGTTCAATTCCTGGCCAGCCAGGGAGAAACCCACATGGCGTGGCAGACCTCTCCTGCCTTGCCCTCTGCTCCCCTCAGCAGTGTCTTCTGTCCGTCTGCCTGTTCTGTTCCCCACTCTGTCTCTGGTGAATTTTCTCACCCTCCCGCGCCTCTGACCTGGCCCCCAGCTCTTGTATAAATAAATAAAATCTTTAAAAAAAAATAAAGATAATGCATGTAAGGATTCCTGACAGAAGCTGGCACAGAGGTGATACAGGACAAGTGGCAGCTGCTGTATGTGTACAAGCAAGTAAGCAGGCTTAATCTTGTCCTCACGGCAAGGTCACTAAACTCTTTCTGCAAAGGACAAGGTAGTAAACATTTTAGGCTTTGTGTGACCATTTGGTCTCTGTTGCAACTATTCAACTCTACCATATAAAAGTAGTCAGAGAATATCAGTCCATGGCTATGTTCCAATAAAACTTTATTTAGAAAAAATAGGCTGCTGGTAAGATTTGGCCCTTGGGTTGTAGTTTTCTCACATAAGCAAACTGAGTACTGTAAGTGCCTATTCCAGTTGTTAGCACTATTTTATTCACTTTACTTTTATGTTGTCTATCAAGGTCTTTCTTGCACAATATAGTTCAACTTAGAAGTCTTTCTTGTACAATAGAGTTTAAGTTGTATTTGATTCTGGACTCAGGCCGATCCTGTGTCCATTTTGCCCATGAAATTACAGTTCTGTCTCAAGGAGGAGAGAAAGTGGAAGTGCAATAACTTGGTTCAAGGAATATGGTGCAGTGTAGTAGGAGAAGTGGTTTTCTGTATGGTTGCTTCTAGAAGGCAGGGATTGTATTCCCTCATCCATCAGGTCTGTAGAGAGAAGTTAGTTCTTGTGAGTAAATTCAATAAATGGATCCTCCATCATTCCCCTCAGACTCTCAAGCACAGTTCTTTGTCCCGGAGGATCTGAAGCTCTTGTTAATTGGATGGAAAGCTCTTGTCTGAGATTCAGGACACAAATGTTGATGACAGAGTTGGGCAGCGATCTTGGGCTCTTTGTGTAATGTGCTTTCAATGCCTCATGAGATTAAGGTTAGTGCCCACACAGTCTCAGTGGGTGGTGTTCCTTGATGAAGATCTTGGCAGATATTTTCCAAATATGGCCACACCAGTGTCTGTGCCACCACACAAGTTCTTACTGCAATGTGATAGCAACACCGTCAATAAGTGGGCTCTGTGTTCCCTCTACATGGCCTTCATGGACCTTTATCATTGCCTTGACCATCAAAATGTAGCAAAGGTGATACCACATGACTCCCAAAGTAAGGTCTAAAAGGCAATATGGTTTCCACCTGTGCGTTCTCACTTTTAGGATACTGTCCTTGCAATCCACATACCCTGTTATGCAGAAGCTGAGGCCAGGTGAAGTCACTGGCTCACAGCCCCAGCTGAGAGTAGAAACTTCAGACAATTCCAGACCTTGGCCTTTGAGTGTTGCAGTTGGGGGCTCAGACATTAGGGAAAAGGGAAAAGCATCTTGTTCATATTCATTACCCACAGAGAGATCATAAATGATGATAACTTTTTTAAAGGACTATATTTGGAGTAATTTGTTATGCAGCATTAGGGAGCTGATGCAAAGATGCAAAGGTATTCTGCTCCTTTACTACCCTGTATCATCTTACCACGTCCCAGAGGCCTTGAAAGGACACTTATGTGGGAAAATGCAGCAGGCTGCCTTCGTTCACCTCTCACGCATTACCTTCTCTGTACTGGACTGACTATGTGTTAGATTCTGGGGAAATAGCTGTACATGTTATTTCAGTCTCTGTGCTCAAAGAGGTCATGGTACACAGGGGGAGGAGAGACAGTAAGTAAACAATTAAATTTACAGACTTATAAGAATGTAAGAAAGCTGGTAGCCAGTGCATAGGGAAATAGTAAAGGGATCAATTATTTTTACCTGGAGGAGTCTGGAAAGGCTTTACAAGGGAATGGCACTCAGCTGGGTTCTGCTGGAATTTAGGAGTTCACGCTATTCCCAAGTGGGTTGCGCTTGGAATTCTAGGCAGAGACAGCTGTGTGCATAAAAGGCTGCAGGTGCAAGGAATGAGAAGGAGTGAGGAATAAGGCAGTCCGGAAGCAGGATTTGAAGGAGGTGAGCAGGCAAGCAGGGAGGAAGGGAAGATGGTGCCCTGCAGCGTGGATCTTAAGATCCACTTTAGAAATAGCAAGAGGCCACCAGATTATGTTAAGGAAGGGAGTAAGTGAACGGCTGAGACCTGTATTTCAGATGGGCCATTTTCCTATAGTGTGGAAGACAGGTAAGAGGGGGAATTTGAGGCCCAAGAACCAGCCTGGTGCCTGGAAGGAGTGCCGGACCTGAGGCAGCAAGGGTGTGGTCTGCAGTGAAGGCAAGGAGGACATGGACACATGGAT